ACAACCAACTGAACTGGTGTTCCGAATCGAAGGAGGGTCTTTCGGAATTGATGTGATTAATGAAGAAGAATTTCTCCTGTTGGTGCTTATACTTGAAACGGATAACCTATAAGCGTTTTGGTGCAGGTATCTTTGAACGGTTTAACTTTTCAATAGGTAAACATCATTTGAAGCATCATGGCTTCAGATGAATTCAACTATGATAGCGTGCACCCTGTAATCTGGATGCATGTCCCGGTTGTAGGTATGGAATCGGCACTGGCCTTTCTAGGACGACAAAGACTACTGAGGCCTGCCCTGCATTTAACATTTTCGCTTTGATCTTGTGTGGAATATATTCCATAAAGGAGGTATTTGTGATGGCGCTTGAAGTAATGACAGTGATAGATGAAAATAACATGATAACGATGGCAACAAAGCAGTATTGAAGACAGAAATAGTACTGAAGATGAAATAAAAACCGAGAAACTGATTGAAAGTATTGTACCCTACTGTTCCATCCCTGAAAGTGGAAATCCTCCCCAGATAGATCTAGCTGTTCTGTTGTATGGACATTTGTTGAGTCATAATAGAGATTTTAAAAGATCGGTCACCGACGTAAAGTTGGTATGGTTTCGATCAACGGAACCTATCGAGCTCAGTCCCAGAAGAAAAGGGCATTTCAGCAGCCAGTCTCTAAGAGCTTGTTAAACATGAATTAGAAAGCACCGGCGAGGCTCAAGTTCTAAGCATCTCATGTCCGACCGAATAAGTCCCGCGAATATAAGCTCTTTAGCATATGACAGGTAGGTATTGTTGTAAGTTTTCACTTTGAAGGCTTAGAATTGGTGAGGTTTTGAATAATCCAAATTGCCTGCGACTCTGCGGTCATGAGTGACTCTAAATCTAAGGTCTAGTGGGTAGACCTTGTCAGTATTTTGAATCCTTTCGAATAGGCCTTAAACACAATCGGATACCCTAGAACAGCTTAAAGTTCGGATATCCAGATTGGGAAGAAAAGAATCTGGTGAGTATTGTATTGGTACGGAGTATGTCAGTCACATCTGGAGAAACAGTTATGAACTCCGTGCCTAAGATCTTGTCATCTTGTTGATTAATGCGGCAAAAGCGGTAGTCCATGCATTTCTGCACGTTTCGGATTTAAGAAATGGTAGCTTTTTGTGGCCATGCACATTTTAATGTATTTTTTTGGCCTTTTTTACCTTTTTTTTTTTGGCTTTTTCCCTCAGCACAGGGCTGAGTTGTCTTGGATTGCCCCTCATTTGAATCATGATATGAGGGGCGGATACTTTTGGGCTGATTATAGCTGTGCCCAAGATTAAATATCGGAACTTTTGATAAGTACCTTCTTACCATGGCGAAGAAACATGACGAACGTTTGATAGATTGGGAACGGTTTTCTTTCAATCGCGAAGTCGATGGTGTGGCTGGTAAATGGAGAAATGGAGCAAGGATAGATACATGCGCTGACAACAGCAATGGGAGGTTTCTTCATGAAGATAAATGGTGGTGTGTTGTATGAGTGATATTAGTTGATTTGTTTCATGGAAGGGTTGAATCGGAATGGAAATAATGAGTGAGGGTCGTGGATTGGATGCTACAAGATCAAGATCAAGATCAAATGTTCTGAAGATAAATATAAATATAAATATTGGACGCACGAGGACTAAGAACTGGGTACACCAGTGCTACTTATGAGGGGTAGGTAGGCTCTCGGCGAAACCGTGGTTTGTCTATTGGGACTGGGTAACGTTGTACTACTAGGTACTCGTAGGTAAGCATACAAACAGTATGTACGGAATATAACGTTCAATTTGCGATATCGCATACTTAGAGCCTTCTTGTTTATATAAAGACGAGAAGAGAGGTTGTGATGGTTAGACACCAACGTAACATTTGTATCTGGTTATTCTTAGAGGTAGTGCTCAAGTAGGTATGTTATTACCCCTCTATAACCAAATGGCAGTTCCGCACCTCTATAAGTAAAATTTCTTTCCTTCAGATAGCAACATCAATGACTTTAACTCTTCAATAGTTTCCATCTAGATCCTGCTTTGGTCAATCTAGGTAAGAAAGATACTTTACAGCTTTGATACCTAGGTAGGTATATAAATCTGCTAGTTATATTCTTAAATTTGAGCATATTCAATCATAAATCGCAAACAAACCTTCCCTCTAACGAAATCATCCATCCATGAAAATCTAAGAAACAACCCCTCCACTATCTCAATCTCTTATCCATCTCTCTACTTCGCTTTCGGAGTCTAGATTCTCCTCCTGTTCACTTCATTCAGCCTCCTCAATAACCTCCTGGTTTTGATTCTTGATTGATCTAAAATACTGACTGATGTTCATATAATTGTTATATTTATTCATTGTTGATAGTTAGTTGATCACGCTATTACATACTTTGCTCTTCATTGCTCTGAATATCATTTTGATTTTTCTTCTCTTTCCCTCTACATCTCCCCTCATCCATTCACCCCCTATCCGTCACTATTACGATACATTTGGACCCCAATAATAATAAGTTGGTGTTACATTATCATTTTATAATACAGATTCCTTAACTGTCTATAATCAGTCAACGCCATATACTCCGTACCAGGTGGCGGTATCACATAATTGTCTGTCTGTACACACACAGATCTATTCATCTCTAACTCCCTACCTAGTACTGTGTATTCATTCCCTCTCCTTGGTGATGATATCACATTATCGTTTACGGATCCAGATTCAGACTTTAACCTTAACCACATCCATATCATATCCATTTCCGTTACAGGGGGCAAGAATCCAATAAAAATCATTCACCAACCCGTCAATCCATCAACTGGTGTACCTACCAAACTCACCTATAGCTAGCTAGTCGCCCAACTGTGGATACCGGTAGAAGAGGGACAAGACTAGAACTTTATTATTAAATTTGGTCGAAGC